TTTGTATGGAGTGTAAAAAGTTGAATGGGAGAATTGAATCATTCTACAAACAAATTTGGCCAATTTTTACACACCGTAGTCCCTGTAGTGCTACCAGAGCGGTTTTTTTGTTTCTTTCTGGTGAAGTGTTTGATAAGGTGAGGTCGACGAGAAACTTTTTTGTTCGCTTCATCGATTCGTTTGGCCATTTTGATCGCATCTTTAGGCAACTGAAATTGTGGATGTTCATGGGATCTGAGTCTGAAAGCGCCATCGGATTGTGAATACGGCAGAAGTGTTGAAAACTTGATTACATGCTAGCATTAGCAATAGATATTAATTGTAGCATACTTAAGGTTGAATATTACCATTATGTCTTGACTTCGAGTTTGAATTCATTTAAGATTAAGTAAATCTGAGATTAAATTTGTTCTTGTCACGGTTTTCTTTCGTTGTTTTCGATTCGTTAACAATCATCATTAGGAACGAACAGGTGAGCTTTCCGTTAGTGAATATTCCGTTTTTGTGCTTTGTTCCGAGATCATCGCGTTTCTCGTCGAACCAGTTGCATTTCGTTGTACTTTCCCAGCCATACACCCAAACCTATCGATCAGAATGCCGATTCCTATTCCAGTACCGATCATAAATATTGTGTGCATAACAGTGATAGCGATAGCGTTCGTCGTTGAGATACAAAATCCTTAAAACGAGGGCAACATTTTGTGGATTTATCTTAACGGAATGTTGTCGCTTTCTCATTCCCATAATTCCATGTGTTTCATATTTACATGTTATCGGTTTTCGAGCTCGTTTCCATCACTTAAAAATCAGCGCGAAAGGCATGATTGTTAATAGAAATTTGGGAAACGAATAGAAGTTTGTCGAGTACAGCTGAATGTCATTGTACCGTTATTGTGGTCATCTTTAAGCTTTGAATCTGCAATTTTAGGGTTATCATAATCTTGCAAAACACCCTTGTCAAATACGTCGTCGTCTTTGCAAAACGCCAGTACTGTCAATGCGTTCGCAGAAAGTTTCATCGTGTTTACACGGCAATAGATTCTTTCTTTTATCGTTCCTTTTGAGTGAGTCAACTGAATGAATATTTGATGTCAAGAAATGTTAAATGAAATCCAGTTTTACAGGTTGATTAACACAATGTCCCCATGATTACCAAGCAATTGTACTCTTCAGTGCAAAGTATTAACTGTCATCAGGAAAATAAATTGCCTCAATCTGAGCATATATTCATCTATATTCCTTAGCAGTTAAACAGTTATTCCAATATGAACATTTCTTAGGATTAGTCAAAATCAATAATGTTCCTGTTCCATACTTTTCACTAACTGTCCAACCTGCTTTGTTTCCCTGTCCAGTTGTCTGGTTCCGTTCTCTTCTGTACATCCTTTATTGAAAGTATTCTGTTTTATTTTTGCTAACAGAGCAGGAAGAGAACACTTTCATTGAAGCAGAAACACCGCTAATCAGAATTGCCTTGAAGATGATTTGAAGTTGTCCAAATTGTTGACCTTTTTTACGATTTGCTGAGCGCTTGACACGAAAAATGCGTGAAATGGCTGCTTTGCAATTGTTATTTCTTGATGTCGAAAGGAAAACAGTCCCAAATACGTAATGATTATCAGAGCGTTAGCACATCGAAATCGCTCTTTTTGCACGAACAATGTTAGTGAATCGCCCTTGAGAAGAAGTCTTTGATTTCGACAGCTGAACGCATCGATTTGTTCGAGTTCAGTCATCTGCAAATCCTTCACTTCATTTCCGCGTTTTCGATGTGCACGGTTGGACGTATCAAACGCGCTGTCCATAAATTACTGATCGATGAATTGATTGGTAACGGATTCGTGAGAACAAAATAAGAGATTTCATCTTACAGAAGCTTTACGATTCAGTCTGAATATGATGAAGTCTTCGTTTTGTTGAGCGACTTCTTCGCTGACTAGAACAACCATGAAGAGACGCAAGAACCGCCGCATCTCGCAAAACCGTAACCAATGAATGAACCATAAATCTCATCAGGATCATTCAACAATCGTCAAGTAAATAATTTTCGCTTATTGCGACAAATATGGAAATTCGGCCAAGCAGTGAGGTAATTACTTTTGTGCACGGCAAACCTCGGATGTTCATCTGTCGAAAATTGAGTGAGTTGTGGCGGTCGAGTGCGTGATACTACTCGATCTGTGAGCAGATCGAATGCCTGAAGGTGACCGCTAATTCACTTTGTTTCACTGTGCTTATCTCAGCTCACCTTTTCGGATTCTTTCGTGATGTTCAAGTGTCGTTAAGGAGATTCGCCACGAGTAGTGACTCTCGAAGAGGGAACGTCACTGTGCACATGGACAGTTGTACGAAAGCTCGGCGAAGGAGGTTTTGGTGCAGTTTATTTGGTAAATTAGTTGGTTTTCATCACAATGGAGACGATTAGGGCATTCGACGACAACTAATATCAGTCACATAAGTGAACCTTATCTAGGTGAAGGATCAGAAGAATGCCGAATTTGCGTTGAAAGCAGAAGCAGCCGATCAGTCTGTCAAGGTGCTTCATCTCGTATTATGAGTCGAAGTTCCATCTCAATACCTGCCATCACTATGAAGTGTTCAATTGAAGTTCAAACATTCTTTTGAGATACTGAAACTGTTTCCTGCTTCTGAAATTTTCAGTTTTGTTCGGAAAACTGAAAATTTCCAGCATTTAGGTATTGAAAATGGAGGTTTTTGTGTTAAAGGAATTGAAAAACTGGAATGCAACACACTTTTGCAACATATTCGATAGTGGGCAATACGGAAACATTAATTACATAGTTATGACTTTAGTCGGTTCATCACTACAGGTAATTAGTTCATTTTAAAACAACAACAGTATCAATAGGAATTTTTAATTACCGATAATATCATGCAAGTCAGTATGTGCTAAACTGTTAGGTTTGAGCTCGTAGAATTATTTCGAAACGCCCTAAACCAGTGGTTCCCACGTTCGGGTGCTTCATTACCCTTTTGCTTCATTAACCAGTGAACTGGTA